CCCCCCCCCCCCCCCCTCGCTCTTGCGTGTGCCGGGTGCATCATTATCATCTCACCGTGGAATGTACATCATGTCCCCGGGATGAAGGTCAAGCACGGCGATCGGCTCCCCCAGCGCAGCGGCCTTGGGCTTAAACTTCATGTCCGGTCTCGGCATCGTAACCATCTCGTCGTACAGTATCCAAGTCTTGGACCCTGTTAGCTGAACCACGATCCCTATCAATAGCGGGCCGTCGTTTCAACAAAAAAAAGGGAGCTGCATTGTATCGTAGTTACTCCCTACCCTCCAACGGCCAAAAGAGATAAATACATGCTGCTTTCATCAAACCCCGTACTTAACCAAGTGCGGAGCATGTACCCCTTGTGTGGGACGTTTCGCAGGCGTGTTGTTGGAGAGTTGATAATTGATCGTTGGTGAAGCAAGCATTTTCCATTGAGTGGCGAGGTCCCCTTCGTTCGTTCGTTCCTTCCTTCCTTCATTCAAGTCTCCTTTGGAAAGACTTGGACGTGTAGTACGTACACCAAGATACAACCGATCGTAGTCTGTCTTTCGCGCTGAAGACTCCGGTCTTGTTGGTAGGGTTGTGGGCGTGCGGGCTCGGGGGGGGGGGGGCAGGGGGGGGAGAGATGGGTTCAGCACTTCCGAAACGGTCCCAGCAACGGTCCCGCCAACGGTGCCGCGACCGCGACGTGATCGATCGAGAGGCAAGGAAACACTCCGCAAATATTCCTTGTCAATAGCGGCGTTGGTATCAAGCCGACACTCATTTCATTCAGGCAACGCTCCTCTCCACCTACCATAAAGCTTCCCATGCGAAAGGCTGCTTCGCGGAGCAGCAGAAGCGGGCGGGACGGCGCTACCTCATCCTCTACTCCCACCCTCATGATCCATCGGCGCGCGCGTACACGCCCTACTGCACGCCAGCAGCAACGAAACCGACGGCTAAACGTATCAACCAACGACCCGACCCACGTACGCACCGTCCATCCAGTCGAAGTGTGCCTCGAATCCCTGGCTTTGGGGTGGGGTCATGTACAGGTTCGCGTTGACGGGCTGCCCCAGCACATCTTCCAGCGCCCGCGAAGCTCTCAACACACCGCGCCACCTCCTCTGCAGTCGGTTGATGACCACGGAAAACCCTCCGCGATGAAAAGCCTTGCGAGCTTCCTCCAGAAACACTACCCTGTCTGCCCCCCCGGCATGCGTCTTTCCTGGTGCCGGCGGTGTGTTGCTGCCCCAACCGTCTGTAGCACCGCTTGTACGGGACGAGGAGGAGGAGGAGCGTCTTTCCTGCTTGTCCGTTGCTAAGGTCGACGGGGGGAGTCCGGCCGTCCAGAACTCACCGTCAGCTTGCACGAACACCCGCTTGATTATGTTCCAGTCACTGCCACCGCCGCCGTAGGTAGATGTCNGGGGGGGGGGGGGGGGGGGGGGGGGGGGGGGGGGGGGGGGGGGGGGGGGGGGGGGGGGGGGGGGGGGGGGGGCGTACTCTTACGTTTTGCATGCCTTAGCGGTTAGACCAATGACCACGCGTTCTCGAGAGGACGGAGCTTTATTCCCACAGGACCGATCACCGATGGCCAATCGTCCCTTACTACTTTGCCGAAGGTGGCTCAAGAATGTCTTCCCTAGTCTATCTATCCTAACGATATCACTTCCCGCCTTTTCAAACCACCTCCTATGCCCCAGTACAGCTACCGTCCTTTCCTCTCTATTCCATGCCTCAAACATGCCCCTGTACGTCCCTTATATTTTTCCCAGCTCAGTCACGTACTCTTCCCTCTTCTTGTACAACGGACATTCCGCGACTACATGAACACGGCCTTTGCATTCGAAGCCGCAATCACATTTGAGATCGTCGTCTTCGCCGTCTACCGCCTTATGTCTTCGTCGACGTTCTCGAAGGCCCCATGTCCCCGGTCCTGAATTTGACCTTAAGCTTTGTTCCTACATCCATTGGTCCATGTAGGTAATCCTTGAACCCTATTCCTTCCTTCAACATTCCGTACACTTCTAGACCCTCCTTATCTTATCCTTGGTTTCTTTCTTAGATTCTGTTCTTCTCTCTCGGTACAAGCAACAGATATCTCCTCCTCGAACCCCTGTAGACCCTTGGTGTCCCTGGGGGGGGGGGCATTCTTAAGGTGTCTGGCATCTGCATAGGTGTTGTCGTGACAAACGTCGATGGGAGAACGCACGCGACGCCAGCGGCATGTATCACCCGCCGGCGCATCACCCATCATCCCATACGGCAATGTTGACACCCCCGCCCGACTATCGCGGTGAAATGTTACAAATATTGATACGAGCTGAGGGGAAGACGAAGACTTGCCCCAAATGCTCTTCGACGGCCGCCACAGCAAGATGTATGCCGACAAGACACTGACACGTCGCCCGTCTCTAAGCAGCACACTCGCGTGTGTCCAAAGTCTTCAAACACCAATAGAGCAGTGCTCGGTGCCAGGCAAGCGGCCACGAGGGTAAGCGATACATTTCCTCGATTCCGTCTACGTAACCCTGGTGTGGCATTCAGCCAGAATCGTGTGCACGCGTCCTCCATGATACCATCCTCGTAAAAAGATGTACGTATGATACTCGTTCAGGGGCAGTTTGAATTTTTCATCCGTTGTCCACCTCGCCTTTGCTTCACCTGCCTAGGACCATGGGCTCCTCTCCTTCCCCGGAAAGCGAAACTCCCTTCTCGATCACACTTTCCACGTCACCCAACCCGAACCCCACTAGGCTCTCGTAGTGGTTCGGAGATCTTCGCAAGAGGAATGCACGGAGAGCGGGAGGTAATATTGTTTAATTGGCTAGTGGATCGGAGATCTTAGGGCGGGGAGAGGGGACGCGGAGCCGGGAAGTTAATCGACCATGCTGTGAATCGGAGATCTTGGCGAAAAGAGGAAGCGCATAGCGGAGGCGGAAGAAGTTCATCATTACCACAACCACACATGTTCCTACAGCAGTATGTCTGCAACCTCGTCATGCAGCCTGCCCCACCCCCCCTGCTGTCCCGAAGATCTTGATGCCACGTCGGATGCAGTCCATGGATCCATTTGTTGTGGCGATTTACACACAGGAATACAAGCACAAGCGCTATCGATGAGCCGTTACATTGTACCGGCATAATACACATCCGTTCGTGTTCGCATCATTAATTGAATTTTCGAGGTATTCCAAAGGGTTTAGTAGCCCGAGAACGTGATAAAAGACGCCATGAAGCGGTGTTGCCCACCCTCCGCCCCATACCCTCTTTTGTATACCCCCTTAGTCACAACCTGTATGCATATGTGGGTTCCTCCCTTGAGCGCACTTCATCACACTAGCGACGATCCAACCCCCCCCCCCCACCACCCCTTACCACATGCCACTGTTGTCACACCACTGTATCGTTTTCGGGAGTCCTGTTTTGACTGCACTTCATCACACGGGCGACTTTATCACGCCTCCTGTAGGTGGGCCTGTGTGAGTGCACTTGATCATAAGGACGGGTGACGAGGGATGTCACACCCCTTGCATCACCACACCCGCCCGTGTGACTACCTTTGGACCCCAAAAAGTGTTTTGTCGCACGGGTCTTGCATCTTATGAAACCTACGGTATTCCCGCACCGTTTGTTGCGCGGCGGGTCTTCTGGCTCGAAGTGCTTTGCTCCGTCCTCCATCATGGTTTCCATCCATCCCCATCCTCGTGGTTCCCTCCTGAAACATGTCTAGACTACCCTCCATATCACTACCACCATCCTCCTTTCGCCGGCACCACTGAACCACTGAATCCGAACCATTTGTCTGTGGTGTATGTCGTGTGTCTGGGTGCGCAGTGCGCAAGAATGTGGACCTCCGAGTTGGAATTGCCACTATTATGGAGGCCTCTTCTCTTGGTGAGCGGAGAGTCCGGGGTTGTGGTGGCTATGTCCTGCCACCGGAGGTTGGCTCTTTCCTATGGTGCAATGTGGCGAGGAATGCCAAGCGTGACCGAGCGAACTCAGTCAAGCTAGGGTGGTACGGAGAGTGGGCGAGCCTTCGTGGACTCATTTTCCCATTCTCCTAAAGATCCATCAACTCTTCGCAGCCGTTGAGGGTCATAAGAGTCCGTGACCCTCGGAGAACAGTAATCTATGATCACATATTCCCTCAGATCCTGCTCTTTATGTACGTGTATCTGTGCTCCCTGAATCTCCATATCCTGACCTCCACATAGCCCCCCTTTTCCTTCGCCGAAAGCTCAGCTTGCTGAAGTGGGGTGTTGGCGCACATGCATGTTTGCATGTTTTCTTGTAGTGGAGCAGGTATGGATGTATCATTGGATCCAGATACAGCTCTTCGAGAATTAAATCTCTCCCTCACTATCCGAAGACAGCTGACAGTGCCGTGTGGAGTACGCACGTTGGAAACAAGACCGTACGGATTTAACCTCTCCAAGGCTCGTACCAGCTACCAGGTACTGATGTCAATCAATGGTGGGTCAAAGCTTATTCTTGTTACTTATCAAGAATTGGGGTTTTGTGCGGGTTCTGGTTCGCGTATCCATACCGCTGGGTGTAAGCAATCGTGTTGCTTATTGAGTGCGATAGGCATACGGTGTTCAACAGTCTTCAGACTGTTTTCGTGACCCATGATTAGTGTCATCGAGTTGCAACCCTTCATTCCACTTGAGACCGGTTAACTTGACATTTCCTCGTTAGCATTTGACCCAACCAAGTGCTGGATAGCAACCTTATTGTTTGGATGCTGTTCCTTTCACCGTTTAGACACTTTGGAAATGTATCTTTTGTTTGCCTTCGGACTTGGTTTACTTTTCCGCTGAGTACTTTCTTGTTCACGCGTTTTGCTGGCTTCGTACACAACGTGTTTGGCCTTGCTTTGTGCTTTGCGCGTTTGTTTGTACTCGAATCCCTACCTTCGTCGCGTTTGCGTTCCGCTTTTTTCTGCGGCACTTAGGACGATTTCTTGGCAAGCGCGATGTCCAGATCATGTATTGATCTGTACGCGGAAATCATTTCTTGGCATTGCGGCGCTTCATCGGCACGATACATCAGATCTGATTCAGGACCGTATCCTTTCAGTCTTAGACGATATCGATAGTTGTGCGGACCTTTTCGGCCTTGACCGCTTCGATGCCCTACCACTCTTAGCACGACGCATGTTTCAATTTCCGGTTGATTTTCGTCGGTTGCTGTCAGGGCAGGTAAGGGAACTTGTTTCCCAAGGAAATATTAATATTCCGCCAGTTTTCCAAACTGTGGTGCTGGTGGTGTTTCCCTTTCATGGTACGCTACTGTTTTAGATGGGCAAGATGCACGGATATTTCTCGAGTTTCATTCACCCGCTTCACCCTATACACAACCGGCGACAGATGTGAGCAGACGGTATATGGTCCTCGCCACGGTAAGAACAGCTTCGGATTTGGTCCACCTATATCCTGGGGTGGTCGGTATACAAGTATTTGTTGACCAGGTGTAAAGACGGGGAACTGCGGTAACTTGTCGTTTTCGCAGCTTGCTTCTCTGCACGTTCCGTGAGGTTTCTTCGCGCTAGTTCGAAAGCAACTTGTAGACTTTCTCGTGTGCTTTGAGCAAAACTCTCGGTATCTGCACTTGATCCTACATGTGGGATTCCGAGAATTACATCTACCGGTAACCGTGCTTGGCGACCAAACATCAACAAGTACGGTGTCTCATGCATGGTGTTACTAAACGACGTACTATACGCTAGTTGGACCATTGGCAGGAGATCCGCCCAGTTGTCACGATTCATGGAGCTATGCATTGCGAGCATGGAATGCATCGTTGAATGCACACGCTCAGAGACCGAATTANAAACATCAAGAAGTACGGTGTCTCATGCATGGTTTTATTAAACGACGTATTATACGCTAGTTGAACCATTGGCAGGAGATCCGCCCAGTTGTCACGATTCATGGAGCTATGCATTGCGAGCATGGAATGCATCGTTGAATGCACACGCTCAGAGACCGAATTACCTTGCGGACGATAAGGCGTCGTGCGTGTTTTCTTGTAGCCCAGGATTGTTTGTGACTGATAGATTATCTTGTTTTCGAATCCAGTGCCTTGATCAGAGTGCAGCATTTCAGGCGGGCCAAAGATACTGATAGTCCGATACAAGGTTACACGTGCTACCGTTTCAGCAGTTCTGTTTGGAACCGGTGTGAGAATTGCATAACGCGTCAAGTGGTCCATCATGGAAAGCACGTATTTGCATCTCACTCCGACTGCTGACATTGAGAGTGATTTGTACTCGACTAGGTCGACTGATACTCTTTCAAACGGCCGCTGTACAGGTACGTGACCCGTCGGCAGTTTCGGACGGCGGTGAGGTGTCTTTCTCCGTTGACAAGCCTGGCATTCTAGGCACCAAGTCGGGATGTCGCGGTTCATTGACTGCCACCAATATTTTTGTCGTATTTTTTCGTACGTTGGACGAAATGCGAGGTGTCCACCTGAAAGAGCGTGATCATGGTATGCGTGCATCACAAAACCGGTGAGGTCATGTGGGACTACAAGTTGATCACTAAACGTGCTTCGTTTTCTTAGGTGTCCTGGCAGATACGATTGAAACAGTAAACCGTTTTGTATGGAAAGTACGACATTGATGTTGCCGTTTCGTTGTCTGGTAGCGGTGCTTTGGCGTCTACAATGTATTGGACATATTCGCCGTATTCTTCGGCTTGTTTCTCGCGCAATTTCCCATGCTTAACAGATTCAAATACTTCCGTGGCGCTAACGAAATTTGATTTGACTGTGAATAATTCCCTATCACTAAGGACTGGTTGCACATCATCCAATTTGTCAGTCGAGGCTTGGTATGGTCTGTTTGGCATGTGTTGTTGCAGCTTTGGATCGTCCGGTACATTTCGGCAAGTCGGTGCAAGGTTCGACGCAGTTCGTTCTTGTTCATTATCGAACACAAAAAGTCGCGATAACGTATCCGGCACCACATGCAACTTTCCCGGTTTATGTCATACCGTGAAATCGAAGGATTGCAGTGCTAATGCCGATCTAGTGAGCATATTTGACGTGTCTTGCATCGTATAAAGATATTGCAATGCCGCATGATCAGTTACGCACGTAAAATGTCTACCCCATAAATAAGGACGCCAGTGTTGAATTGATAGAACAACAACATAGCATTCCTTCATGGTGGCAGAGTGGTGTTGTTAGCTTTTGTTGAATCGCTGGCTAAAGTATGCTACGATATTCACGTCATCGCCATTCTGTTGTGCCAGGAATGTTCCTGTTCCCACTTCAGATGCGTCTACGTGGATAGCAAACTCTTTAGAGAAGTCCGGAAAACGCAAAACAGGAGCGTTGGTGAGTAATCGTTTCACTTCGGCAAATGCTTCATCATGTTTCGGACCCCAGCGTTTCGCTACCGACTTCACTGCGTCTTTCTTCGTAAGGTCAACCATTGGTGCGGTAACGGCGGCTAAGTCGGGGATGAATTTCCTGGCATAGTTGACCGTTCCTAGGACTGATCGCATACTTTTGATGTTTGTTGGCGTTGGCAACCCTAGTTTCGATTTTATCCGATCTTCACCTAAACGTATGCCATCTGCGGAAAGAATATGCCCCAAATACTTCACCTCCCTATGGCCCAAATTGTACCTTTGATGGTATTAATGTAAGACCTGCGGCTTGTAGCGCTTGAAAGGTATTTTCCAAAAGCGAGATATGACCCTCCCATGTAGATGAACAACAAATACGATCATCCATGTACACAAGACCAGATTTTGGACCAAAATGTGCGAAAGTCAATGTCATTGTACGTTGAAACAGAAAAGGCGAATTGGCGATGCCAAAGGGGAGTCGTTTAAAACCCATTTTCCGTCCCGAGTAACGAATGCAGTCTTGTCTTGTTCTGCTTCGGCAATTGGTATTTGGTGGTATGCACTTTGTACATCGCAGACTGTGATGATCATATTTAGCACCTGCTACTGTGTCAATATGACTTGCCATTTCAGGAATTGGCCACGATTTACGAATTAAATTCTTGTTGATCGTCGCTCTGTAATCGTGTACACGGTCGCCCTGGTGGTCTAGTTTGTTGTTGTTGTTGTTTCTCACATTAGCTTTATAGCCCACAAAAAATGGGGAGCCCATGGTCTCAAAACCCGGCACATACGACGCCGCGAGAAAACAAAAAAACAAAAATAGGGTACAAACCACTCGGAAAAAGAAAACAAAATGATCGAAAAAAAAGAACAGGTATCGCACCGACCGTTCGAGAAAAGAGCCCTCGGACACCGATCAAAATAAAACAAAACAAAAATAACAAAAAAATAAAGGAGGACGCTTCCCACACCCGCCGAAAGAAAAAATCAAAGGGTAACGTACCAGCACCAGGCACTGCGCACCAGGGCATGGGAGTAACGGAGCAAACAGGGCAAAGAGGCGGCAGATGGGCAGACAGCCAGCCGTACAAAAAACAAAGGCAACAGCAAAGCGAGATCAAGGTACCCAACA